TTTGAGTTCATTACATAACCATCAACACAAATACACTTGAATGAACCAATCAGGTTGCTACAGATTGAATTATCTTCACATGAGTGCGTATTTCTTTCACATTCATCGATATCTGAAACAAATTAACAGCAATAACAGAGAAATCTGTTGGGATTTTTCACTGTAATTTCTGCATTGATGTATTTGTTGCCGGTGTATATTTCTATCCTGTATGAAACTGATAGTGATGTAATCTAATACGACATTTAGATGATTGACCAGTATATTTGATGGTTAAGGAACATTGAGGGTTCACATTAATACGTCACTTTATCCCCCAAAATATTGAATCTACATGATTTTGAATATCAGCAAAACAATGATTGGTAGCATGTTGATTACAATGTTTGAACTTCTCTTTCAGGAAATTATTAATGACATAATGTTACAGCATAACATACCTGTACAATTTCTAGATTCCCCAATCACATCTTCGTATCCGTTTTTACATATGCATTTGTATGAACCTTCTGTATCGTCACAATTCGAGATATCACGTGGGCAATCATCAGTTGATAGTAAACATTCATCGATATCTGAAATAAGCCATACAAGCATATTTAATGTGCATAAATCTACTTTGTAACCATATCGCAACTTAAACTAAAGTATACAACAGTGGTTATATAAACTATTTATTTATTTATTAATTTTATTGAGATACTATAGCCATAGCCCCCCCAATATACGTCACATGTGTCAAAATGTGCTGAGGCATAAAATAAAATACAAACATTTGGCTAGATTACATATAATTTGATTGTTGGTAGTGCTCATAAACTCAATAAATTTGCCAGCATAAAAATAGTCAAAAATGTATTTTTAACTAAATTCATGAAACGGTTGGTAAGACTAAATTGAAATTCGTCCTCGATATATTATTCGGACAGAATGGACAAACAAATGCAAAATATAGTCAATATAATAATGGTTATGTACTTACCGGTGCAACTTCCAATGGTTCCATTTCCCTCATACCCATCAATACATGTGCATGTATAACTACCAAGTGTGTTTGAACACTTTGCTTTCTGTGGGTCACAATCAGTCAAGTACACATCATCACACTCATTGATATCTTGACATGTTTCACCATCTCCATGCCATCCTTCAGTACATGTACACTGGAAGCTACCAGGTATATTGTGACAACTGGCTTGAATATTACAATTATGACGATCATCATCAGATAATGATAGAGTACACTCATTTATGTCTACAAGGAAAAAACATTCACAATCTCATTTATTTATTTACATCTATGCCAATGGTAAATCACCTGTTCCTATTTAAGCTAATATCGTGTATATAATACAACTGGTTACCGTACAGTGGCCAAATACTGAATTTAATCTTTTCATTGTCAAACCAAAATTAACAAACAAAAAAACCATTTTCATGTATGACATTTAAACACACACACACCTTGCTTTGAGAAAAAATATACAGCAAATAGAATTTGTTTACCACAATAACGATTTCGCTTAATGTTTTACGAAGGTGATTACGAAGTATTACCTTCACAATAACCCGTGGAATTTTTCTCGAATCCTGTAAGGCACATACATTTATGTCCACCTTCAGTATCTTCACATGTACTATATTCCGGACAAGGAGATGATATTTCAATGCATTCATTTACATCTGTAAGATAATGCAATATACATATTATATAAGTGCATTCCCTTTAAAACAAGCTGACGTTTTAAAGAACCGTTTCGTGTGTGTACATGAATACAAAATGAGCGATCAATTTTTTCTCACACTGGTTTTCTGACACTCTATTTGGTATAAGGAATTTGTTTTGCAGCTACTTTTTAACTAATAGACACTGCGATGCAATTACTTATCTTAAATTTGGCTTTGTATTGCAAACGTTTTCAGAGTGTGGTCTAAAATTTACCTGATCAACCTGAATGAAAACTATCCATAAAAATATAAGTTCATGTCAGTCTTTGACAAACAATATGGATCGAAAGTTGACGTATTTTCATAAATGTCTTATATATATCTCCATTGTCAGCCAAGGTAATTTTCTGATTATTTTGACCAAATTTATTCAGTGTCTTCAATGGGGATTGCAGTGTGTGCCTGATCATTTGTTTTAATTCTGTTTGTGGTCAATCGGTTGGTTGTTTGAACGGTCGGTTGTGTAATAAAGTGATTTTTATCATAATACACACATAATGTGGACAAAAAGGGGTTTACTTGGAAACTGACAAAAAATGATCAGCCGGGTGAGAGGGTTGTAAGCCATCCATAGTACATAACCTTAAAGACCTCGAACTGTCTTATGAGGAACCAGCTATAAAATAAATTACTTGATGTGTGTTTACTGTTCAGATATGCAGGGTTTCTTCTGCTGTTTTGGCCATGATTGTATAAATTTCACATTCCATTTGAAATCGTTTATTGTGTGTACGTGTACAATTTCTGAGAGGGTAGGAAAGGAGTTTGTCACGTATGTTGAAATCATTTACACAGTTGGGTGAGCCTGTTTTTCATTAAGGTATTATATATTCCTGTCGATGGAGCAGTGATTTCTTATGCTAGAATTACAATTTGACAATATACTGAGATATTCTGAAAATTGCAAAAACATTAAATACCAGTGGAAAACAAGTCGTCCATAAACGGGTGCCATCCATATAAGTTCATATGACTGTATAGACTCTATTTAATCCAAAGGAATAAAATAATACTTACTTATGCATGTATTATTTCTGACATATTGCTTGTATCCATCATCACATGTGCATATATATGATCCCATAGTATTGACACAGTGAGCATTGTTTGGACACTCAAATAACTGTTGGTAACATTCATCGATATCTGAGTTCAGGAAAAAAGTATAATTGTTAGAGACATGACATCACTTAAATCACTGATTTTACCCAAATGAAACTGGTCACTGACAGCATCGGATTCATGATCGGTAAACCCACTTTAATTTGAACATTAAAAA